CATCAAAGGTGCAGTAGGTAAATTTCCACAATGCTAACTGCTTAGCATAAATCTCTGAATCACAGTCCCTCCCCTGCCGTCTGGAGCCATGCCTCCTGAAACACGAGCACCACAAAAGAACCCTCTCTCATGTGTTAAAAGCAACTAGTGCTTGTCCGGGGGCGTGCAAGCCAAACTGACATGCTATTTCAGAGTGAATATTTAGAGTTGCATGGTAAACAATATAGGGAGAGACTAGGCGGAATAGTAGTATTTACTTGTGTTTTGTTGTTAAACTAATTAAAATCTACATCATCAATGCTGTAAAAGGTCCCTTAAAAAACTGAAAATAGTCTTATCAATCTTTCATCGAAATATTTTAGTAGCTGAACAACACTTCTTTGAAGATATAACCCATTTGTAACAACAACATTTAACGTTACATCAGCTTTGTGTGAAGCTAAAACAGATTTAAAACAGAACATAAGAGAAATACTTCAGACATGGTGTCATCCTTTTTCCAGCGTGCAAAGGTAACTACAGTATTGATTCAGGTTTTTAAAAAGTTTGGATTCAGCATGTTTTTACCGATCGCGCGCACGCGCGCATGTGCTCTCGTGAACGTGCAGCAGTTGGCAGCGATGCGTACAAATGGCTGCGCAGTTGTTCAAATCTGCATTTGCTGACAGACAGATTAAGCTACTTTTCACATTTTTTTATGCCTTACCCAAAATATAAAAATACGTATAAATACATTTAGATCATTTACTGTAATCATTACAGTTAGACTGTGAAGACACTTTCAACCAGCACAACAAAACATGCTTCTGAAGACAATGACCTACTGCACCTTTAAAGAGGATTTTTAGCTTAAACTTTGGTGTTTAGTGATTTGTATAAGTCAATGGTCACACGACTTTCGTTCATTCATTAATTTTCTTTTCTGCTTAGTCTTTTTATTAATCTGGGGTCGCCACAGTGAAATGAACCGCTAACTTATCCAGCAAATGTTTTACGCAGCGGATGCCCTTCCAGCTGCAACCAATCACTGAAAAAAAGGTCAAATGACCTATTAAAAACAATTTGTTTCTGTTTCAAATATCATATTTACGTTTGTATATGTAATCACGCATTGACTTGATGTATGCAGTATATTAGTAATCCTGAATAATATGAACCTTGGATGGACATGCTTTAGATAGTTCTGTTGATTTAGTGGTTGATTTAGTTGACTATATCATCCAATTCTCTAAAAAGATTCAGACCAAAAAATTCATCTGTTCACAAACTGGACGTCACTCAGCACCAGCCTGAGGCTGAGCTCAGATGCAGAAATTGTCCTCAGTGTTTGGGTTATGTAATTACACAATGTTATGAGCTTGTATAAAGGAAGGTTTTTAATCTCTCTATGGAAACAACATTGGAAGCAAGAAAAAAAGCTCCCCTAATCTTTTTAAAAAAAAAAGATTTCATTTTTCAGCTGAATGTTTAAATGTGTTTATTGTTACATGTATGTGTTAGCGATTAGCAGAAACATGTTAGAAACTTCTGTTCTACGCCAGTTCCTTGTCTACATTTTAAGCAAAGCCTTTTTAATACATTTGAGCTCTGTTGTTTTATGAACAACTGACAACAGTCCTCTTATGCAGCATCATGATTATTTATCTTATTGTAGTCATTTATTCATTCATTCATTCATTCATTCATTTTCTTTTCAGCTTTGTCCCTTTATTAATCTGGGGTCGCTATTGCAGAATGAACCACCAACTTATCCAGCATATGTTTTACACAGCGGATGCCCTTCTAGCTGCAACACATTACTGGGAAACATCCATACACATTCATTGACACATGCACTATAAACAATTTAGTTTTACCCAGTTCACCTAAACCACATGTCTTTGGACTTGAGGGGGAAATGGAGCACCCGGAGGAAACCCACACAAACATGGGGAAAACATGCAAACTCCACACAGAAATGCCAACTGGCCCAGCCGGGGCTCAAACCAGCGACCTTCTTGCTGTAAGGCGATTGTGCTACCCGCTGCGCCACCGTGCTGCCTGTCATTTATTTATTAATTTTTTACTTTTATTTTTATTTAGTTAATTTTCTTACAATACAGAACAATAATTTAACAGAAAAAAAACATGCTAACATACATCATTACTTCCATACACATTTAAATATGCACATGCATAATTACCTATGTATACGCCACATAAACTTGCATGTAAAAAAAAAAAAAAAGAAAAGCCAAAGACATAAGATTGCCATATCTATCACAATTACCATTTACATATGTTGGTCATTTATTTTAATTAATGTTAGGGCTGTAACGATACACCAAACCCACGATTCGATTCGTATCACGATTTTTGACCCACGATTCGATTCGTATCACGATTTTTTTTTCGTGTGGGGTGGGGAAAAAAAGATTTTTAAAACTATTTTTTATTAAATAGAATTATATCATTTTTGTTTTCTTTGTAACAAAATACTTTTGAAAAACCAAACCGAACTAAACTCCATTGTGTAGATGGTTCAAGCATGTTAAAAATTCTTTTTCAATCAAGTTCTCTTACATAGAAAAAGTAAATTAAATGGCTACTAGGGATGCTCATTTCGGTTAATTTTGCTAACAGACAACCGCCGCTCATTAATCTGTTATTATAATACCGGTTAACTGGTCAGATTACTATTAATTTTATATTAAACAAATTGATGTGTCTATTTTGTGTCTGACACATTAAATATTGCATTTTAAAATAGGCTACTGATTTATTTTTAAATGCTAGCAAATTAATAACAGAAAAGAACAACAGAGCATCTTCACGCACCTGTAGTGTTTAGCACAGAAGAGCAGAATAATTTAAATAAAATGAATAAAATAAATAGGACTGCCCAAAATTATTTTCATTTAAATAATTAATTTATATTGCAAAACGAAAATACTGACTGATTCTTTTTAACAACCGGCATAGGCTGTTTTTTCCAATCATGTTTTTTCTTCCGTCAAATAAAAATCGCAGACTTCCTCAAATTGCCCGCTCCACGGAAAAAATATGCATTTATTTAATGCCCCGCTGTTATTATTATTATAACAAAACCTTTTACATTTTAATAGAAATCATTATTTTAAAGAATAAGTCCTGATTGTTTCCTCTCTCTCCCTGGCGGTTCAAGTGCGCGTGCTGCGTGATGAAAAGACAACAACAACGCGCGCATTTGTAGACTTTTTGTAAACAGTTTTGTTGTTTAAATATGCTATTGCATTAATGTGCATACATGCTTTATAAGCCGAAAACAAGGCGCATCTCACTGCCTTTATGTTGACAAGGAAAAAAGAAGAGAAGAAGTGCGGTCCTCTTATGAAACGACTGAATCAGCAGGGTATCGATTGTGCATAAGTGTTGCTGTCTGTGTTGTTACAATTGTAATATTTAATGCTATTGTTATATTCAAGATTTGTACATTCATACAGCTCTGGATAACTTAAAACAGCGATTAGACCTTCAGAGCAGCATGCGTCCTGAAGTAAAGCGAAACGGCTATAAATTTCCAGCAAGATAGAGTGATTATAACCAGAGTCATATACCTTTATCTCTAAATAACGTATAACTGTAGAAACTGTGTTCATATTAACTGAAAGCTTCGTCCTGTTTCCTAGCCTCACGCATCGCGCTGTCAGTCAGCACGTAACGTTAACTCTTAAAGGTTCAAACAGAAAGCGCACAGCACGGTTACAGAAAAGTTTCCTCTGCTGAGGAGTCGGAGCATCTGGTGAACGCCCACCCCTCTCTGCACAGCCACATTAACAACAATGCTTTGACAGCACTGGCAATGTTTCTGCCGTTGTCTGTTGTCAAGAGGGGTTAAGTTGGTTTTGTTTTTGATATTCCTGACACATTCAGACAGTCCCTTATTAAGAGCGCCTTGCGAGCTCTCCCGGTTAAACGCTAATTGCGAGGGCTTAAACGGAGCAGTGCTCGTAATGTCGAGCGGAAAAAAAGTGTTTCCTCACGTTCTTCTTCAACTAGCTCAACTTTTGCAGGCACGCGTGACGTTATTGGAAAGGTAGTCACGGGGTGTGTCGCGATTCTCCCTTATCACACCACGACACAGGATCGTAGATCTGAGTGTCGCGATTTCGATTTTATATCGTGTATCGTTACAGCCCAAATTAATGTCCATTTTTTTATTATTTAATTTGATTAATTCATCCATAATTTGCTGAATTCTATGACATACTAAGTCATCTGTGTTGATTCTGGTTCCATGTTTCAAAACAACAAAACATCACATTTTATGTATATCTTAGATGAAGAAATTGAAAAATCCTATAGAAAATCATCATACCTTTTTGAAGAAATTACTTTGTCATACAGCCTGATATAAAAATCACATTCCGAATAACTTTTCCAGCCTTTAAAATGTTTGTGTAGCCTTCTCCCAGGGTGTAATGTGAGTAAAGGTATAGATTTTCACAGGGAATGATGATTTTCTTGAGGCCCTATATAATTCTCAATGGAAGTCTGTAATTTATATACTTTTTTGAAAGACTTACCACCTTTAGATATATTTCTATCTTTTAACATATTACATGTTTTCCATTGGTATTGTCTTAGTTTGTTTATAGTTCTGAGATATTGTCTCCTGGCTAGTGTCTAGCATGTGCTGAGAGGTCACACGGAGCGTGGGAGCGAGATATGGATCACTATGATAGCATTACTCACCATGCTTTGAAAGGGGTCACGTTTTTCCACAGACTGCTGCCATATGCATGCCCTCCCACAACAAGCCAGTGTTTGGCGACAGGTGGCCTAGAGTTCTCGGAGATGATACCACTCAGTCACTTCCATTCTGTCTGCTTCATTCCGGCTCCCTGAGGGCCGCTTATCGTAGCCTGTCAAAGAGCACGACCAGGGTGTGTGGCCAAAGCAAGCGGCATTTGCTTTGATTGAAATGATGACACCTCTGTCTCAGCATTCAACAGCTGTGTGTTTCTCTCTCTGTTTGCCAGACGCACATATCCAGACTTCCTCCTGGAGCAGTGGCCGGACAGTCTCTGGCGATCGAAGGTGGAGTGTGTCGACTCGGGACCGCGAGTGACTGAAGCGGTCTGAAATCATCATCCTCTATTTCTGCAGCAATATGTCAGCGTCGAGATCTTCACTGCGCAAGAGATTGACGTTGTGTCATTGTAGGACACAATCATAAAGGGACAAAAAGGTTGCAATATGTCTTTTCTTCCATTTTCTTCTTTCTTGCACAGATATAAACGGTTATTTCCGATATGTTATTTATTCAGTTCTTTTATACAACCTACCATATTTTTTGGCGCTGCATTCACGGGCACAGCGTAGACAGCGTCATCTGTTTTACTGTCACTTGAGACAGGGTTAGCAGGGTAATTTGCTTAAAGCATCTGCTATGAAAGGAGGACATGCCAAGTGCACTTCAGGACTAGTGCGCTGCTCTGGTTTTAGTGGGCTTCCAAGAAACTCAGCTTCTAGTATGTGCTGGATAAGACTTGATGCTACATTTTAGAGTTGTCACGATACTGGAATTCGATACTCATCTGTAATGAAAGTTTAAAAACCTCCATTTCCCGCTAACATTTGAGCGCTGTGGAGCACGTTCTTAAACAGTGTTGATTTGCCATTGTGCAACCGAAATTACCGTGATTGCCTGTAAAGGTCATCGTTTCACCGAACTCACTGCTGTTTACTGAGTGTAACCACAGATATAAGGACACTGGAGTGCTTTAAAGCTGCGATTCATTAGCGGATCTCTCAAATGTCAGCTTATAGACAAACCAGCTGATGGACATGACTTTGAAACGCTCCAGTGTCCCTGTATTTGCGATTACACTCAGTAAACAGCAGTGAGTTCGGTGAACTGATGACCTTCACGGCCAATCACAGTCATTTCTGTTGAGCACGTGAACACAATGGCAAATCAGTGATGTTTAAGAACAAGCTCAACAGTGCACAAATGTTAGCTGGAAATGGACGTTTTTAAAATTTCAGTGCCAATTGGTATCGAATTCCAGTAATTCGAATTCGTGATAACCCTACTCCATTTCTATTCCTCCATGAAACAATATGCACCATCCTTGTCATTGTAAATAAGCTATGGGTTGTTAAAAACAGGGTGGTCATTGATGTAGCTTTTAGTTTAGGATTTTTTTTTTTTTGGCTCATGTGACGTTTAATATTACTTTTATATAGCCGAGATGCTCGTTTTGTGCAGAAGTTCAGTTTAGTAATTCATAATAAAGTTTGAGTGGAGATATTTGACACGTGTGCTTGATGTGAGTCGCAAATGCGTATATGGAGTATGGAAAACGGGATATAATCCTTATTGAAATGTAAAAAAACAATTAACTTTACATTTGACTTTTTTAAAGCTATGTATGCCAGTTTGGTCAAAGGGATAGTTCACCCAAAAATACATTCACTTACTCACTGTCATGTTATTCCAAACTGTAGAACACGAAAGGTTATATTTAAGTGCATCATGGGGTCCGTTCTTTGTACCTCGCTTAAATGATCTCAAATGATTTGACGGATTGTATAATTTTTTAATCTTGGTAACTGATCTCTGGCTAATTCAGATAGTCAAACAAGTTAGCAATCAGATTCAAATATGTGGATGAACTGATCTGAGATCACTACATGTGTTGTGAAGGACAGATCTATTGATCCTTGAAATCATGATCAGCAATGCATTGATTGGCTGATGGGACAGCAGCATTATGACATCATCTGATTAATATTCAATTATCCATGTAAGCAAAATTGCATAAAGTTCGTAGTAAACAGTTATGATATGCAAAAAATATCATATGTAAAATAAGATATGCAATAACTTTCCACCTTTGTTGTGGACTACGTTTACACTTTCATGTCAAGATTATTTAGCAATTTAATTAGTTTTACATTTAGAGTGGAGTTTCTTTATTATAGTAGCTTAGACCTTTAAAGTTTCCAAATCAGCGTAAGGAAAAACTGGCCGTTTAAATTAATTTTGCATCAAAAAAGCTTTGATATCGATAAAAGTGTCTGCAACTTTTGCGAAGCACCAAATCACCATCATATTAGCTGTCAAAACATGACTGCATAAATTATTATACCTTAAAAAAAAAACAGTTGAATATTGTGCATGTCTATTATCATACACAAATTGTACTAAAGCTGGTACCTTAAAACAGTCCACATGTGTGTCTAAGACGTCCATATTAATAAATGTTTTCTTGAAACCCCTTGAGGAAAAACGCCTCATGACAGTTTTGTGCTTTTATTTCAGAGTGCAGTTTGCATACGGTTTATTTATTTATTAAACTTTTTAAAACTATTTTACCAAGTGTACATAACTACTATATTGTAAGAAAAAATCAGCATTCGGTACATACTTTCAGTATCACCTTTGCTTGAATGACCCCAGCTTATCCTATTTACATAAAAATTAGCCTGCTCGTGAGCAGGTTCGAGCTACCAGAACTGTTGCTATGACAACAACTCTCAGATGAGTTTTGAAGCATGAAACAATTCTGGATCGTGTCAAATCGTCAATAACCAAATCCAGCTAATTGAGTAGTCTGTGTATGAAGAACAGACCCCTGGCCATTATTTTCTATACAATAAACTATAAATAATAAAGGATCAAAGTATCATAAAAAATAGTCCATACAGTCTTCAGATGTTTTATGGACTCATACACGAGTCCCAATACTTTGGGGTGTTTTATATCCTTTTTTATAGCTTCCCCCTTTACAGAGCACAACAGTAAAGTTCCGGAAGTTAAAACTGTGTTAATTTTCTCCAATTGTGAAATAGATTTTTAACAAAAGTGAATAAGACTTTAAGGACAGACCTATTCAAACAGTTGTTTCAGCAGTTTCTTATGCAAATTCAAAGGGTTTTCTGTCCAAAAACACATTTTTCATTTATACCACTGCATTTGGATATGGCAGGCTAATAAAATTTGATAGGCGGAAATTACATAAAATTTATAACAGAATAGCTTTTGCATAGATTATGATAGAGACATTTTCTTTTTTTCTATGATTACTGACATGTGCTGGAACAATCTAAATTAATTACAGCAACCTAGACAACACAGAACCTTAATGGTGCACTTTCAAATTTGAGTTTGTTAAAAAAAAAAAAAAAAAAGGCTCCTCTTTTTTTGTGGAGGGGTTATGATAACACAGACTACATATCCAGTTTTTTTTTTATCACTGTCAACAGTGTTTTCTGAAAATGCAAAGGATTTTCTTTAAAATAAAACCCAAACTTTTGCATTTACATCTCTGCATGTGGATTTGGGAAGCTTTTAAATTTGGGTTAGCAAAATCCAGGCGGAAACCCCAAAATGGCTCTTGACTTCATGAGGTTAATAGTGCAGTGTGTAAAAAAAAATTTGTGGACAGAAAGGTCCACTAAAGAGCACTAAAAGAGGTCTAATTTTTCCAACCACTCCTATTGAGCACTGCAAATGATGACTTGGTTGAGTTGAAAATTGATTGTATATAAAATTGAAGTCTTTTGTTTCTATAAATGCAAGTAGATTTAAATTAATCAATTTATATTTCCAAGTTGTAGTATTTTTTATATTATTTAATCCTTTGAGTACAGAGTCTTGCATTTTTTCGCCAATGTTCATATACTTTTTTGCTTCAAATCAAAGTCTGAAATGTTATGATCCACTTTTTAGCTATTTATATGCTTTAAGATGTTTTTTTCTCCCAAATCTTTATGGCAAGATGCATGGAAAAATACTTTTGGAAACCAGCACCAATGAAAAAAATAGGTGAACACTAATGCACTCCATATAAACATATAAAAACCTTTTGCAAATTGGAATAATGAGTGAGTAAATGAGAGCGGTTTTATTTTTAGATGAACTGTTCCTTTTAAATAGTGGGACTTTTCTCAGATCTAATCATATGCACTGTTGAAAACGAGTCAGTCCGTGGTCGTTACACTTTCACCACAAAGTTGATGGCAGTAGGCTCAGAGAAAGATCTTGTGATGAGACTAGATGCACACGCACTTTTGCCCAGCGTCTTACTAAATAAGTGCACTACTTTTACTAACTGCACTGTTCGTGGGTGTACTAATAACATGGCGCATGTTGCTGAATCAATGTATGCATTTCTTTTGCGTACTGTGAGCTCACTTGAAAAATATTAAAAAAGCTACATAGTGCACTTGGTTGAGCTCTATTAACAGCTGAACAGTTTTGTGTGTTTTCTAATGCCAAGTGTAGTGCTCAGGAGATGAGACCCCCCTAAAAAACAAGCTTAAAAAAGACTGTTAGTCCATCTTTGAAAATGTAAAGTATATTTTAGGTCTGTATTTTATAATGGCAGAAAAACAAGAGGATCTCTAAAAATGTATTTATTAATTACACTGAATCCTATACTTTGAAGGTTATTAAATTGATGAGGGTTTCTGGCAGGGCTGTTATTTCAAGTTCTGCAGTCTATCGTTTCTTATGTTAAAACTCTTGCAGTATACAATGTAAGGTGTATATGCTTATTTTAGTTTTACTTGACTTTGCATTTATGATGAAATGTCTGTGAACGTTTCAAACAGCAGATCGTACTAACCTATTGTTATTGTAATGCTCAATAAAGCTGAGGTATGGTGTGCATTTGTTTGTGTTGATTCATTCATTCATATATTGTCTTTTTAGGTTTCACACAAAGAAATGAATATTAGCTTAGATCATTTTCTCATGAATGAGGGCTTCAGTTTGGAATGCTTGAAAGGCCTTAACCCTTTAACTGCATGCACTATTTTATAGTTTTAAATAATGACTTTTTAGAATCTGAAATATTTTACGGCATACTTTAATAAATAAAGAGGATTTGGTATTTATAAATGTTTAATTTTGATGATTATTTTTAAATAAATTGGTCATACACTTCATATTTTTCTGATTTTCATAGTATGTATTGACGGTATTAACTCTGGTACTTTTACCGTAAACTGACATATCAACCATTTGGTAGAGGCTGATATTTTAGAAATTATGGGATGTGTTGAAAAAAAAAAAATGCATTGAGTGTGTTCACTAGCGACATTAAGAGTTAAGTTGGCCCTTTATACCCACCAGAGGCAGAATGATGGGGAAGGGTTGGGGAATGCCTTTAACAGATATTCTCATTTCTAATTTAACATAACTTTGTGTTTGTTTGATTTAATGTGGAGCTACAGAAAAAGCAAACTGAAATTAAATGTTGTAAATGAATCATATATATATATATATATATATTTTTTTTTTTTTAATGGACAAAGTGTCCATGAATAGGAGACAAAGCACAAGACGTCAGCAGGCAAATCAAGCCAAAGGGAGGCTCAGCATGACTTGTGTATTCGGCTTTGCACTCCATTGTTTCATACATGGAATATTTTTTATTGTAATAAATTTGTTAAAATAATATACATTTTCAAAAAATTCTTATGCATTAGTAAATACGGTTTTTATTTTTAAATATTATGAAATCCGGGTGTCACAGTGGAATTTAGTTTCCCCCTCAGTCTAAAGACATGAGCTATAGGTGAATTGAAAAAGCTTAATTGGCTGTAGTGTTATGCGAGTGTGTGCAAGATAAATGACCAACATAAATAAATGGTAATTGGAAGAGATACAGCAATCTTATGCATTTGGCTTTTCTTTTTTTTACAACCAAGTTTATGTGGCATATGCATAGATAATTGTGCATGTGCATATTGATATGTGTATGGAAGTAATGATGTATGATAGCATGTTTTTTCTGTTAAATTATTGTTCTGCTGTATCGTAAAATAAATAACAATAAAAGTAAAAAATTAATAAATAAATGACAAGCATGGTGGCGCAGTGGGTAGCACAATGGCCTTTCAGCAAGAAGGTCGCTGGTTTGAGCCCTGGCTGGGCCAGTTGGCGTTTCTGTGTGGAGTTTGCATGTTTTCCCCGTGTTCGCGTGGGTTTCCTCCAGGTGCTCTGGTTTTCCCCACAAGTCCAAAGACATGTGGTATAGGTGAATTGGGTAAAACTAAATTGTTTATAGTGTACGTATGAATGAGAGTGTATAGATGTTTCCCAGTGATGGTTTGCAGCTGGAAGGGCATCCGCTGTGCAAAACATATGCTGGATAGGTTGGTAGTTCATTCTGCCGTGGCAACCCCATAAATGTATGATTGATGAAATCCATGAGGAAATTACTCATAGCAACTTAAATGTTATTCATATTGCTATATTTAGCTACCTTCAGCCCACAGCTACCTTTCAAGTTTGAATTTTGGCCCTTTATAAGAAAAAGTTTGAAAGGACAACAAAGTATGATTTATCCTTGAGCAGATAATCAATCAAATCAGTCAGTCCAATCAAATCCTCTTAAATTTCCTTTTTACACCTTTAGCTGGTGAGTAGCAAATCACATTTCTAAACTGGCATAACTATGTCTGATTGGTTAACAATCTGCAACCCCCTCCCCATTTCCTGTTTTAATCACAAATGCTGTTAAATGTCTTAACACAACCGCAAATTCTTCTTACCTGTGTTGCTGCATTTTGAAGACATGTCACTCATTTTCAACGGGGGAAAGTGTAACGGTCAATATGGCGAATGAAGCCCCGCCTTCTTGCGTGCAGGAGCCAATCATCGATCGCTATAGGATTCTTCGGGTGGGGGGAGATTCTCCACGTCTCAGACCAGACGTGAGTTTATGCAGATTTTGTGTGAATTTCAAATGTTTAGAAATGAAACTAAAGCGACAGTTGCTGTTTAGTTTTATTGGTGATTCCTAATATGAAATTTAATCGTTAGCTTGGCAAGCAATTTTAAAGAATTTGATGTTTCCCTATTCAAACAGAAAGCCAGAGCATGCTGACCAAAAGCTGTTTCAAAGATGGCCGCCACGTGAAATGACTTCAGAACTTGCATAACTATCTCCAATTGGTTAACCCTCTTCATGCCCATCCTCAAACGTTCTGTTTTAATCAGAATTGCTTTCAGAAGCTCAGCAACACAGGTAGGATATTGTTAGGATATTCAAGTTCACCAAAAAGTAAACTAAAAAGACCAAACTTTTGCATTTACGTTGCACTGTACTGTTACACTGTAATTTGTGGATGCTGAATTATTTGAACGCTTTCTGTGTTGAAATGAATTGTTTAATTTCTGAAGGTCTATTGTTCTCAGTGTTTTGGTTAGTCTTTATATCCCATGAGCTTTTGTAGAGTTCCAGACTGCTCTATTTGTAGCATCGTATTTGTTTTTGAGGCTCTAACAGACAGCACGAGTTCTATCCCTGTCTTCCCCCTGCCTTTCCTACTCCCCACATCTTATAATCTTAACTGTGGGCTGCCAAAGATTTATAGTCTAGAAATAAATTACACACTCGACAATAACCCAGAGGTGAAAATAGAAGCTCTCCAGAGAAACGAAAGAACTCCCCAAATGCCTTTGTTTGATGTCAGATTTGAAGATTGATGGCATTTTGTAGTTTGAGTTAATTGTGCTTTGCTTTAATATCCATAAGTTACAATAAGAGACAATCATGTGGCTGTCCCATATGTTGTCCTTAACTTTGTCCTACAGGGAGTCTGGATTTATACTTGTCCTATTGTGTATGTGGTCAGCGCTATATTGATTTTTGTTGTTTGTTTTGCCTGCAAGAGTGATGGATTTTTGCTATAACATGTTTTTTTCACTGTATGTTGACACGTACTTGCTGAGTTGCTATTTCACAAATACAGTAATTAGATTTGTTCGTTGAGGAGCGATTGGTATAATGTTTACATTTTTGCGTAGGCGTAATTCTTAAGATAAATAGTTTTTTTCTGATAGTTTAAATGTTGTTTTATCAGAAATCATAAAGTAAAGTCCTTTACCGGTTCTTCAGAGAAACAATAGAACTCCCAAATGCCTTTGTTTGATGTCAGATTTGCAGATTGATGGCGTTTTTTGTAGTTTGAGTTAATTGTGCTTTGCTTTAATATTCATAAGTTACAATAAGCGACAATCATGTGGCTATCCCATATGTTGTCCAAAAATGTGTCCGTCTGTGGATTTATAATCATCCCATTTTGTATGTTCTCAGTGCCATATTGATTTTAGTTGTTTGTTAAGCCTGTAAGAGTGAACATTTTTTTGCTTCACCATGTTTTTTTACTGTGTTGAGATTTGTAATTAATTGCATTTGTTCTAAGTGGAGGGATTTGTACAATGTTTAAATATTTTTTGCATACTATTGTAAGTTTAACTCATAAGATAAATCAGTTTTAGTTCAATAAAACTGGATGTTTTGTCACCCAGTAACTCCTAAAATAAAGCCTCCACCTGTTCACTGCATAAGCGCATACACACATATTAGAAAATACAAGGTGTAGCTCTCTTTGAACACTTAACACAAGCATATTTCCTGTGTCACTTTCCATTTCAATTCAGTTGGCTGACACTTTTATGCTGTGCACGCCGTAATGTTATTTGTGAGGTTGTGGGGTTGCTGAGGGCCCCTTCAGCTTTGAAAAGAGATACTTGGTCTTTAAGAGGTGGCAGGGCACAGGAGCGAGTGCCCCCAACATTCAAGGTGTATCCAATGCCTCGTGCTCAGCGAGACCTAAAACGCAAAACAGACGGCAATGCGAATGGAGATCAAAGACTGCGACTGGCCTGCTGTCCACACATGCTGAGCTCTCCTGTCAGACTGAATCGCTGCCATGTGGCTGCATGGTGTCTTTCTGCGCACACCAACTTGCGTAACGGGTAGCTATTGCTTACGCTCACCAAAATCTCTCTGTTTAGGCTTCTGGGGCCGGATTGAATTCTCAGTTTGTTGAACCGATAGCAATTTTTAAACAAATGTTCACCCTAAAATGTTAATTTGCTGTTAATTAGTTCACACTATGCTATCCAAGATTTGGGGGATATTCCTTTTAACAGCGAGTAGTTGAAAGTGTTAATTGTTCAATTAAATTAACTTTTAATGCCTTATTTCTAGCAAGTGGTACCCTTTAGGACCCCACCCTACCAAAACAGCAAATCATACTCTACCATTTGTTTTTTCTCAGTAAATGGTAGTCCAGTACCTAAAAGGTGGAGCTAGACTCCCTGCAGAGCATTGGTTGGTTGAATTGCACATAATACAACATGACATTGATTGCTATTTTCTGGCATAAACCATACCTATCAAGTGACCTGCATTACTGCTTTCTGACATTCAACATGCTTTTTAAGTATGGATTCTGATGGCATTGGAAATGCAAGCCTAATCACGGTTTACTATTCAGAATCGTACAAAACTGCACTGCAGTGTCTTCACTCATTGGAAACAAGGATTAAGTTCAAGTTAGCAGCTGCTAGAACTTTGACTGTCATAAAAGAATATAAAGGGATTTTATTTCCTGCATCTCCTGGCAATACATTTATAAAGGACCAGGAGTGCCAGTTAGAAATAAAATAAAGAATTAAATGATCAATTTAATAATTGAAGCATTTAAAATGTGGATAAATAAATAACAATTTAGATAGACAATTAATGGAGAAAAAAATTCTGTTTATTTAAATTGTGTTTTTAATTGTTACTTATTAAAGCAATTTAACATTTAACAAATTAAACAATGCATTTTTTAATAACTTTTAATGTATAAATAGACAATTTTATA